CTATTTGTAGAGGACTAAAATCTGAATTAAAAGCAAATGTTAAAACCGTTGTACGAATCAAATGTACTTCAAAATTTTGCAAAAATATAGTACATTTTTCACGCCACCCCTAAAAGTTAGGCCACACGTAATGCAAGAATATGGAGGTCTGTGTTTTATCATATTAATGTCAGATGTTTGACAATTTGAATTGTCAATTTTTTTATTTTATGATTAAATTATAAACAATGAATTTTACTAAATACTACTACTCACGATATACAAACACAAGTACTAATTTACACATTATTACTTTGTGAACAATAAATTATATTGTTTACAAATCGATCAGTATAATGAAATGTAGGGGAGAGGTAGGTACAGTGAGACGGTCGGAACACTGAGACAAACGCGGTAGAGCTTACCACGTTCGGTATTATAAGGTAGAACTAAACGAACATGCCTATTACCACCTTAAAGTGAAGCAAACAAGAAACCGTTGAGATTCAACAAGAAATGTTTTAGTTATCGCTGGTCATTTGAAGTGAGTGAATCATAGTAAATATACCGTATCCACGTGGCCGCTGTTTTCACGAAAATTGAAGATTCTTAGACAAGGTAGGTTATTCTAACTACAAAGTAAACCATTTTACGAAACAATTAAATTAAAACAAACGATTTTTGTACATATTTTATTAGTTTTTTTCATATATTTTTATTAACGATTTTTTAAGGAACAGTGAGACAACACAGCAGATGGAACAGTGAGACGCGTCTCACTGTTCCTTTACTGTCTCACTGTTCCGTTATAGTTGTATAAGCCAGGTCATTTGCAAAATAATTTTTCTTACAGAACGAAGATGCCAAGAAAAAATAAAACAGATCGGAAAATAGGAAGATTCTCTAAAGATCTGATGAGACAGGCTGTTGAATTAGTACAAGGTGGCACTTCTATACGGCAAGCAGCATGAATAAAAGGAGTATCTTTCCAAACAGTCCACAGATATGTTAAAAAATATCAACAAGATGAGAACGTCCGTTTATGTCCTAATTACAAAGTAAAACAAATTTTTACTATCGAACAGGAGAACGACTTGTGCGAATATATAATTAAATGTTTTAAAATGTTTTATGGCCTATCAAGAGAAGATACCCGAAAACTGTCATATGAAGCCGCAGTCTACAATAACATAGTGGTTCCAGCAAACTGGCATACTTCAAAAATCGCTTCACTTGCCTGGATGAAAGGATTTCAGAAACGTCATTCCAATAATTTATCCCTCCGGACCCAGAAGGTTGTAGTCTTGCAAGGGCAACCGGTTTCAATAAATTTAATGTTGAAATGTTTTTCAGTAAACTTGAAACCGTTTTACAGCATTTCCCTGTGTTTGGAGATGGTAGTCGCATCTTTAATTTAGATGAGACAGGAACCGTTACCGTTCAAAAGTCCCAAAAAGTGTTTGCAGAAAGAGGTATACGACAGGTTAGTAAAGCCACAAGTGGCGAACGTGGAACACTCGTTACAACATGCTGTATTGTTGGAGCATCTGGAGTAGCTATTCCTCCTGCTCTGGTATTCCCAAGAGTACACTTTAAAAATTTTATGATAAATGGGTCGCCTCCTGGAACTTTAGGACTAGCTTCAAAAATAGGTTGGATGAATACAGAGTGCTTTGTGCAAGTTGTTAGGCATTTTATTAAGCACACTGGTAGTACTAGAGAAAACCGTTCTTTATTGCTAATGGATAATCATCAAAGTCATTTATCGATTGAGGCAATCGATTTATGTAAAAATAATGGCGTTACAATCCTGACTATACCGCCACACTGCACGAACAGATTACAGCCGTTGGACGTAGGTTTATTTAAGCCATTTCAGACTTTCTACAATGTTGCAGTAGATGCATGGATGATGAACCATCCCGGTCAGACATTTACAATTTACAACGTAGCAGCCTGTGTGGGCACAGCATATCCACGAGCAATGACTCCAGTTAACATCGCAAGCGCTTTTCGAAAATCTGGAATATTTCCATTCGATCGGCATGTCTTCGCTGAAGAAGATTTTTTGTCAAGTTTTGTGACAGATAGGCCGCTTGTTGCAGTTGAAGCTACTGCTGAAAAGATAAGTGAATCTCCAGATGTAGAAAATCCAGGTCCAAGTCATACTGCTACTACTACTAAAACCTTTGTTAGTCCAACAATTTTTAAGGGTTATCCTAAAGCTCCGACAAGAAAATCTGTAGAGGGCAACAAAAGACGCAAAAGAAGGACGATGATAGCTACGGATACCCCGGAAAAAATGGAGCTGATTAAATCTAAAGAAAAAACACCAAAACAGAAAAAAGTAGCACGGCGCGTATTAGATAGTAATTCTGACGAGCAAGACGAAAATGAGATGGAACAACAAGATTTCAGCGGAGGGGAGGATTTTATTGGTGAAGATCCAGAACCAATTATTTTCGAAGATCTTGACCGCTGTCCAAATGATGTGCTCGTTGAATTCAACTCTAAGCAAAAGACATATTATGTAGGCAAAGTCTTGTCTCAAATAAAAGAAAATGATTTTAAAATATCGTTTTTACGAAAAAGCGCTAAATGTGAAAATAGGTTCGTCTTTCCAGTTGTCCCAGATGTCTCACATGTACTAAAAAGAGACATTAAAATGATTTTGCCGCCCCCTTTAATGCAAGGGTTAACCAAGCGCCAAAGTTCGCTTTTAAAATTTGAATTAAACTTTGATAGTCTTAACGTCAAATAATGTTAATTGTTACGTCTCAGTGTTCCCACATTGAAAGGAACAGTGGGACATTTACTAATTTTTAATTTTTATATTTTTGAGGTTTTAACATTAATTTTTACAAGAAAACGACATGATTTTTCAGTTCTTATTTATATACCAAATATCATTGTACAATATAAGTTTAAAGTAGCATTTAATAAAAAAGTTATTGGCATTGAAATTTTTTCGTCTCAGTGTTCCTACCACTCCCCTACTCAGTTGACGAAAAATCGCATAATGTTGTATACATGCAATAGCGCGAACCTTTTTCTGCCACTACCGGATCTTTATTTAACGTAAGATATTCTAATTGACTAAAATTTAATTCCATGTTAAGTTATACAACAATGTAATGAATTCCAATATACTGTTACTGTGATCTTTATTCCTAATAATAATATATGATAATTTCTAAACATAAAACTATAACAAATGTTATAATAAAACATGAATAAAACATTTTTATTATTGCTTTTTTCTCCTCAACTGAGTACATTTTTTAATCAACTTATTTTTTTTTAACAATAAATCACAAAATTTTGGCCATTTAAATCATAGATAAATGTAATATAATTGATTTAAATATTGTCAAATATCAGAAACAATAATATGACAAAACGCAACACATAATACACATTTTTTCACAGAAAAATGTATTATATTTTAGCAAAATTTTGGAATACGTTTAAGTCGTAGAATAATTTTAACAGTTGTTTTCGATACATATTTGAGTCCTCTACAAATAGTTTCCCATGATTTTTGGTGTAAAATAATTAGGGAAGCAGGAATTTAACAATTTAGAATTTCCCATTGAGTTTCCTATGGACCGTTTGACGATTCACCACCCTGTATAAATTATTGATAAGTAGTTATTATACAATATTATAATACCTCTGTACCGTTTAAGTCTTTTTACTGGAAACTTAAGTTTGGATTCAGTTGAACTACAGAATAATAAACAATTAGAATGTCCACTCTCAGATGCCGCCTTTGAAGTTTGTCAGGACGCGAACGCCATGTTTTAGACGGAAACGAAGACTGGAATTGAGAAATTTGTGACAAGCTGCGACAGAACTGTAATTTAAATTTTTAGAGATTAATAATTTAGTACATTTGAAATAAGTTAATCTATTCTTCAACTAAAAGTACGAATAAAGTAGTGAATATTATATCTGTAGTTGCCGTAAATAAATCAAACCGGGTTAATTTGTCTATGCACACCAGATAAAATGCCACTCAACAGCACTGATTCCGACTAAAACATGGCTGATTCCGTCTGGGCGAACGAGATTCGCGTAGCTACTTATTTTTTCAAGCAGAGTGGGCATTCTGATTGTTTATTATTCTGTGGTTGAACCAATCCTCATTCATTCTTTAAAGGGACCGGGGTCACGCAAACAATACTTAAGACTGTATTTTCGCTATTTTAACATAAAACTAAAACCATTAAGTCTGAAAATAGTCAATATTGGTAAATATAGAAAATCTAATATTAGTTTTAAAAATATATACATATATTTTTCTACTTTTATTAATTTTGAGCATTATGTTTAACATCCTAAACGTACCTACTGTATAAAATGTTAACGAATTTTACGTCGTTTCCAGATTGGCGCAATTGTTTGGAGATTGAAACCACCTCCGCAGTTGCATACTTCAAATATTGATCTATTTGTTATAGAGATATAAGTACGGTTCGAGCAAATTGCCGAGATTCTCTGCTACTTGAAATGTAATCAGGAAAGCAAAAATTTAATCATCTCTTTTCAGAGTTCATAAGATCCTTTAACCTTCACCTAGTTTCGCATAAATTGCTACAGGAACAAATATAACTCTGTTCCCGATATTCCAAAAGTTAATAATGTATGAGTTTAGGTTCAAAGTTTGTGGGTGAAAGGTAAAATGGGTTTATATATTGTAAATAGGGATCAAATATATTTGAGTCCTAAAATAATTATTTTCTGGGTGTACCTAAATTTACGGCGTTTATTTACTATAAATGCAAAATAACGAAAAAGGTGGTAATCTACTTTTCAATTTATTTTTACTCTGTTTCAATAATTTATTATTTCAATCCAAAAATCTACTCATTCAATATTTTATTTATATTATTAATTATTGGCTGTAAACCTTATGTATACAAGGTAACTTTTTAAACGTCAAACACAAATAACACAATATTAATCCTAACCTCGATTTAAATGTAAATTCAAAAACAAAGATATTTTAAAATATTTTAATGAATAAACTCAGTCGGCTGGTGTCTCATGCACCAAAATGCAGTAGATCTCTAAGTGGAGTTAGAAGAAAATATCCAATAAATCGTGAAGAGGAACAAAAACTTCCTGGTACGTTTATTTTTCATTATACATATACACTTATAACAACTATGTGTTGTTTTTAGTATTCGAATACAAAACCAGTAAAAATACCTATAGAAGAGTATTTTCATGGGGAAATATATATACTGGAGCCTTGGGCAAACCGTATAAAACCAGTGAAAAATTAGAAAAGCAACAGTGTCTCAAATATCCTAAGAGGATAGGATTTGGTGAAAGACAAGAGGTAAACACTAAATATTTGATTATTTTATGCTAAAAATTATTTATTTTAAGGTTACAACAGCTGCATGTGGCTTTGGTTTCACAGTTTTTGGTGTAAGAAGTGAAACAAACCAAAAAATATGGGGCACGGGAATTAATACTGATTCTCAAATTGGCTATCATGAAGTAAGGAAAGATCATCCCTTAGAAGTACTTTTTTACCCGAAACCAATTGACTTACCCCTTAAACAGCCTGAAAAAACAAAAGTACTGAAAATATCAGCAGGTAGGGCTCATTTAGTAGTACTTACAGATGAAGGTGTGTTTACTTTAGGAAATAATGCTTATGGACAATGTGGCAGGAAGATTATTGAAAATGAAGATTATATTAGAAGTAACTATATTAATCACATTCAAGATATAGATGGAAAAAATATAGTGGATGTCACATGTGGACAAGACCACAGGTAATAAAAAGTACTAAATTTTATTTTTTTGAAGCTTCTATAGTTGCATTGTATTACTTTTTCTCTATTGGCGATGTCAAACGAAAGAGGCGGCACAGTGTAGTAAAAATTTGAACTAGTGCACATAGGATAACAAAACATTTTGTATTTAGTTATAGACACATAACATAGTTATAAACATTTTAAATATTATTAAATAAAGCACAATAGGGTAACAAAATGTTAAAAAGTCAATGTAAACAGTGTTGTTCTGCACAGCAATGCAGTAATTATCGATCGGAAGGAATAACTATGCACTTTTTTCCTCGTGACAAAAATCTAAAATATTGTTGGGCACAGGAATTAAAAATTGGGAAATCGATATCAAGTGATATGATCGTGTGTTCACAACATTTTTTATCAACAAATTTTTTTTCAAGTAAATTTGCTGAACAGAATTGCAACATTTATTATATATAATGTGCCCACCTAACCTAATCAAATATTATTAGGGGTACGGAATTTTCGTTTATATGAAATAGATGCGAATTTCGGGGAAATTTTGAACATAAATGCGATAAATGCGAAATATGGATTTTTTGTTTATTTCCGTGAAATATCTGCAGGTGCTCAACTCACCCCTAAATAAGTAGGTAGTTACGAAGGTATAGAAAGATTTTACAGAAAGTTTTCTATTGTAATTTTTGAAAGGATTGTTTACTGTTGTAACACGTGTTGAAACAGAAGGATCTTTCATTGTTCATCATTAAATAGATAAAGATAAGATAAGGAATTGATATTTTTCAATGTTGATTCTTTGAGAAATATAAATAAGCCGACTGTTGTTGATAAAAGTCGGCTAATTCTTATATTCTAAACATATAAATTAGTCAACCAGGACAATCAATGCTCATTCCGTCAATTTTTACTGAGTGAGAACATAGTCTATCAAAAAAGTTTTCATAGTGAAATAAAGTTACTTAAAGTATCTCCTAAAATAGGACGCCCTAAAACAATTTTGAGTGATCAAGTCAAAGAATTTGCAACCGATGGCCTATATCTGTGTGACACAAATATTGTGATGTGTAAGTATTGTAATACTCGTTTGGAAGGTGATAAAAAGGACACACTGCAGAAACATGTGAAGTCGACTAACCACATTAACAAGAAAAAATCTATAGCATCTACTTCAGGAACTAAGCTACAAATGTCAATTGTTAGTGGCTTTGAGAGACAGAAACGAGCAAAAGAAGAAAATGATACTTTTGTGGAGGATACAGTTAGTATGTGTCTGAAAGCCAACATTCCACTTCATAAATTGGATCATCCAGCTGTGCGTGAATATATTGCTAGATATGTGCCGGGGTCGGGTGCTCTTCCTTGTGCGGACACTTTAAGGAGAAAGGTAGTGCCTCGGTGTGGGCTGTCTGAAAAAGCCAATACAAAGCAACAGCTGAAAGACAAGCCCATTGTAATAGTAGCAGACGAAACCTCGGATGGACAAGGAAGATGTGTTTTTGCTATTCTCTTCAGAACTATAGATTCTGTACTACATCAAGAATGTTTTTTAGCAAGTGTTAACTTCCTTGATACTGCCAATGCATCAACGTATTCACAGGCAATTATAGATACATTAAAAGACTTTGAAATTGGTTATTCACAAGTTAAAGGCCTGGTATCAGATTCCGCAAGATACATGTCTGCTTGCTTTAACCTATTAAAAATTCTAATAGGGCCACATATCTTACATTACCAGTGTTGGGCTCATAAAGTTAATCTTGTTGGTGATGTGTTTGTAGGAGAGTTCAAGGAGTTAAACATGTTTACAGCAAAAGTCAATTCAGCCTTTTGTCTTTCAAGAAAAATGAAGAACTCTTACTTGAATTATTTGAAAGAAAACGTGCCCAATCTCCCAGCAAAACTTTATCCAGCACCAGTTGTAACTAGATGGAACTCTTGGTTCTCAGCAGTGTCGTATCTAAGTGAATATCTTAATCACTTACTCAATTTTTTTGATGTGTGGGAGAATGAAAATTCCAGTATTAAAATTCTCAAAGACAATTACGCCGATGAAACTTTCAGGCGTAAACTAGAACTTCAAATGACCTTCACCACCGAGTTCTGTCCAAAATTAATGAAATTAATAGACGATTTGGAAGGAGCCAGTTATCCATTCGCCCATCTTTTATGGAACAAATTAGAGGGCTTAAAATCGTCACTTGAACACCATCGCCAAGGTTATTTTGGTGTAAAAACATCTCGATTGCTCACTGAAAACGAAGAAATTGACGCTACACTGAAGAAAATGCTTATGAAAGCAAATGACAAAGCCTTTAATAAACTAACTCTCCATATGACTTTAAAAGACACAAACGAGGATTTCTTACACATTGGACAGTTATTTAACCCATGTATAGCTGCAAGTTTTACTGTGAACCCGAGTGTACTCTCAGAAAGCTTTGCTAAAATTCCTTTTTTTAGAACAATGACACAATTGGAGTACATAGATGGATATACTCACTTTCACAGATTAATCCTTCAATCGATACAAAGGAACGAAGATCCCAATGTGAAGGATATTTTGCTTGCTACACAATGCAGTTTTCCGTCATTTGCTAAAGCAGCATTACAGAGCATCTGGAGTCCAACGAACAGCGTAGATGCAGAACGATTCTTCAGCAAATATAATATTGTAGTGACAGATCGAAGAACAGCTCTTAAAGAGTCGAATGTCGAAATTACAACGATGTTAGCTTTTAATTAATGTTTTTTGTTGTTTACTCGTAGTTAAAAATAAATGCGAAATAAATGCGAAATTCATGTTTTTTATTTGCGAAAATTCCGTACCTCTAAATATTATACACTACCATAGATATTAATTAAAATTTCTATTATAACTGCAGCAGGGCAAAAGAAACTTTCAAAGAAAGGTGTTATTCCCTCTTAATGTCTTCTTGAAATAAAACACGAAAGAAAAATCAATGAGGAACTGGTGAATGCTAGACTAATGCGTAATAAAACACACACATTCCTCCCTGGTGGGCTTTACAAGTGGATTTTACTACCCACTCGTCTGTTAACACATCCACAGTGATTTTATGTGGGGCACCATTTAAATTAGTCGTTTGCAGACACAAACCGACAAACCATTGCGTTAACAAAAAAATAAATGGAAGATAATAAATACGGATAATTTTTAGACACAACAATCATTCACCTACAAAGATTATGGTAGATCTGTTTTGTTTTCCTACGTGCGTGATCAGCTGATCATCTGTCAAAGCGCCATCTATAGTTTGTTGACATCGCCAATAGTAAAATGCTAAGCAAGTGTAGTGGAAGTATTGCCATGAAACACAAAATAGTGGTTTGTAACCACAGTTAACAGTTGGAAGAGTCCATTTATGTGACGAAGGGATTTCATTATACAATCTGTAAACATTTTCATTTGTATTAAAATCTGTAAAAAATATATAATATAAATGTTTTATTAAATGTTTTATTAAAAAATATTTAAATTTTAAAAATACAGAAAAAATTAGTATGAAGCTTTGCACTAGTCTGCAGTACCTCCTACTGTACCAATTTTTTTTATTGATTAAATGTGGGTTCTTTTTAGCCTCCTTTTGACTGAAGATGGATGTGTATATTCTTGTGGATGGGGAGCTGACGGTCAAACTGGTTTGGGACATTTTGAAAACTGTAGTGAATTTACAAAAGTTAATGGTGACATTCAGTCAGAAAAGATAGTTAAGTTGTCCTCAAAGTCAGATTTTGTGTTGGCATTGAATAGTAAGTTGGTAAATGAATCAATGATCTCTTTCCCTTTGTTCCTTGAATAAATGAGAATGAGAAGATTTAATTATTATTTAAAATCATTTGTAGATAAAGGACAAGTTTTTGGCTGGGGAAACACAGAATACAGTCAGCTAACTTTGGATAATGGCAATCAACAGATTTCTTCACCTTTGCATATAAAAATGTTGGACAAGGTGGGGCAAATTAAGAGTATAGCCAGTGCTGGATCTTTCTGTCTTGTTTTAAATGGTAATGTATATAAGTAGAAGCTTTGTTTAGAAAACGGTATTTAATTCATAATTTCATCAATATAAAATGTGAAATATTGAATTTCTTAACTTTCTTACCTGTAGAGGGGAAACTCCAAACATTGATTTAGAACTGCTTTTGTGAAATTCCTTCTACAATGCTATGGAATCGAACATTAAATGTAGGTATATATTTTTGTAGATACCGGGCAAGTGTTTTCCTGGGGTTATGGTTTGTTAGGTTGTGGTCCAAATGTGCAACACTCAAAAGAACCAATGCACATTCCAGAAGTCTTGTTTGGCAAAAATGAGTACAATACTGACAGTAAAGTAGAGAAAGTGGAGTGTGGGCTATACCATGGTGCTGCAATAACCAATTCTGGAGATTTGTACATTTGGGGCAGGAATAAAAATGGATGTTTGGGACTAGGACATGAAAAAGATCAATACTTTCCATTAAAGGTAACATTTAACTTAATAAAGTCCAAGCTGTAGAGCAAAAAAACGTGCATTAGAGAATTTTTGAAACTGTTGGTTATAATTTCCAACAGTAATAACTTCAAACCGTTGGTTATAATTTTTTATCTACTTTTAATGTGCAAATACGGTGTTTTTTGATTATTTTTATTTGTATTATATCAAATCAATATCTTAGGGTAAAATGTGCAGAATATTAAATTAAAATACATAAAAAAGCTTTAATTTGAGCTGTGCTACAATAAATTTGAGCCAATAGTTTATGCAAAATTAATAATTGAATTCCAAAAATATGAATGTTTCGCCATTATTAATTTTTAAAATAAATTCTGTAAATTTTTTTTTTATGCAAAAAGCATTATATTGTAGTTATTTTAATTACAAATCGAATGACACTTCCTAAGTTCAAATCAGTCAATTCCTTTTCGAGATATGTTTAATTGTTTATAAAAACTATTAAATTTTTATAAATTTTAATATATTTTTAAGCAACTTATTTTATTCATTTTTAAAATAAAATCTCTGTGGTCAATGTCATATTGATGTGTTATTAATGTTTTGAGGCTGATTTTTTGAAACTAATGAAAAAACTGCATGTTGTGTGTTTTAGGTTGCAATTGGGGGCTATGTGGAACAGATACATTGTGGAGTGGACCACTGTATAGCTATTTGCAAACCATTCATTTGAAATAGCCAAAGTTTTATATAAGCTGAGGAATACAAGAAGATTAAACACTTTTTTTGTGATAATTTATTGATTTTGTTTGTATATAAAGAATGTAGCATTAAGAGCGTAGGCGCAAAATTTGGGTCCAATGCTTTTTAAATGCATTCATTTTTCGAATCCCGAGAAAACTAACAAATATTATTGAAAAATTTAAACGCAGAATGAAAGATTACATTATTACCGAGGGCCGAAAGTCCCTTAGAATAAACAAAAAGTTTTTTTGAATGAGATATTTGAAATTAAAACTCACACTAAATTTTCTCTTTTTTTCACCCCTGTAATTAAAATAAACATTATAGAAGTTTTCAGGGACTTTCGGCCCTCGGTAATAATGTATTTTTTCATTCTGCGTTTAAATTTTTCAAAAATATTTATTAGTTTCCTCAGGATTTGAAAAAAATGAATGCAGTTAAAAAGCATTGGCCCGAAATTTTGCGCCTACGCTCTTAAGGAAAATTGCTATGTTATAAAGTTAACTTTTTGTATATTTACTGTTTAACTAGTAACTTTGCCCGTCGAGGATCTAATCAACTGTCATCTAGACTGAGTTATTAAATTTTTAAAATAAATTAAAGTATGATCTAGTGCACTTTTTTTATCATTTTTTTTTACTATACCCTATATAAATGTATATATTACATTATATGTACTATATATGATTTGATGTGTCATATGGTAGTATTAGGCTAGCTGTTTATTTTGTAGTCAGTCATAGGCCAGTAAAGCAAAATTTACCGTATGCTTTATATATAAAGCAAATATGTCTATTATCATCCTTAGTGTCATGTGATATGTAATATGTCACTATAAATTCATTACAGGAACAGGATTGGGGCAGAGGGTTCTAAGAATCTCCGGAAAAAATCAGGCTACTATCATGGAACTGGAGGAAGAGCTGAAAAACATCAAATGTGACATCATCGGCCTCAATGAAATAAGATGAAAAGAAGCCCAAATGACTCTTAAATCTAGACATGTATTTCATTTTAGAGGTAAAGAAACCACTTCAAAAGGTGGAGTAGGATTTATTATACATAGAAAGCACACAAAAACTATAGTTGAAATTATCAGCATGAGCCCCAGGATTGTATATCTCATCTTCAAACTAAATGCAAGATATAACCTTAAGGTAATCCAGACATATGCTCCAACGACGACCCACTCGGATGAAGAAATTGGAAATTTTTATGAGGACCTAGAAACAATGTTACATGCCACAACAGCATATTACACAATAATTATGGGCGACTTTAATGCGAAACTGGGGTTTAAACAAGATGATGCAGAAGTAGCAATGGGTAAGTCTGGCTATGGCGAAAGAAATGTAAGAGTACAAATATTGCTGTTCTTACACCAGGAAAATTTATTGACCTACCCATATGCCTCAAAAGGAAAATCTTTGACCAATGTGTGCTATCTGTACACACTTATGGAGCGGAAACATTAAGACTCACAAAAAAGGTAGATAATGAGATAAGCGTGACTCAGATGGCTATGGAGCGCCAGATGTTGGGTGTCTCTCTGAGAGACCGAATCCCAAACGAAGAAATACGTCGTGGAACAAAAACAATAGACGTTATCGAAAAAATCGCGTCGTTAAAATGGAATTGGGCAGGACACGTCACCAGATTATCAGATAACCAATGGATAAAAGTAGTTTAGATTGGAGACCAAGGCAAGAAGCAATACGGAGCAGAGGACGCCCACTAACTAGATGAACTGACTGAAGCGTATTAGCAATAACTGGATGCAAGCCGCACAAGAGAGAGAGACAGATGGAAAAAGCTTAGGGAGACCTATGTCCAGCAGTGGACGCACACAGGTTGATGATGAACGAAGACTATGTGTAGTGCCCTTTTGGCAGTCTCTTTGTTTTTTCTATCTAAATATATTCGTTATATCCTCCCTTTTATTTGCTATCTCGCATGTTAGGATTCGATCTGAATATATCCGTTAGATCCTCCCCTTTCATTTGCTATGTCGCATGTTAGGATTTGTTCAGTTGTTTATTTTGTACTCAGTCAGAGGTCGATTAGTCGAAGAGTCAATTAATTAAAATTTGGCTTTTAGTTAAAATATTTTTATCGATTGTGCCCTTATGACATCTTGTATGTAACTATACTTTCATTATTAATGAGGATACTGTGTGCCCTTTTGGTAGTCACCTTTTTTAATATATTTGAGATATCCTTCCCTTTCATTTAACGTATCACACGCTCCAATCAGACCAATAACAAAGGAGATATGTTGGAGATATCTCAACATATTCGCTGCCCCTTCTCCTTTCCAATGATGTATCTTACGTCATGATCCGACGAACTGTTCTATCCCCACTACAAAACGCTCAAAAATAACAGAATGAAATGATTTTACATGGGAAATGAAGCAGAAACGGTATAGCAGCGTTTTTAATTGTTATTTAATTAGTTAGTTTTAATTTTATATTAGTTCGGTAAAGCGTTGACGTTTGTTAAACGCCATTTTATTTTAATAGTAAGTGTATGTTTATCTTACCCAGTTACATACACACTACGTACAGTAAACTATATTTTTAGCAATTTTCGAAAAAAATAATTACTGTGAAGTAGTAAAATTTCTGATTAACTATATTTGAATCATCAATTTGTAGAATGAAATAGCAATAAATCAACCGTATCGTTTCAAAAACAAAATATGATTGATATGTCAAAGGTTGGTAGTTCAGATTTCTTTCCTAGGTGGCGTCGTTACCTTACTGAACAAACATTGTGATCTGTCATCATAGCCTTTTATGTAGATAGATTATCATTTACTGCTGGGCTGCTGGCTTCATTTATCTTCAACAAAATTTGTCTAGTGAATTAGTTAAACAACAGACCAAATTTTACTTGCTTCAAAGATATTTCAAATGTTCCTTCTACTTACTGTTTAGGCTGGTATTTTTGGTTCTGGTGTATATAGGTATAATAAAAATGAAAATTAATGCATAGTATAAAGAATTTTATTACTTAATACATTTAACAACATTAAAGATGGTTCTAAAAGTCAATATATAGAAAAAATGTCAAGAACATGCAAAAGTCCATCCCATTACATATTTCAGTCTCCTTAGCAAGTCAGATTATATAGATCCAAGTCCATATAGTATTAAAATGGTACGAGCAGTGATATTTTATAAATTACATCGACATTGACTTAAAGCTTCCACATAAAATCGCTTATACATAAAATATAAAAATAAAATTAATAACAGTAACAATGAAAAACATTTAATTGATTAAATTGATGAACATTACATTGATGAAGTAACAAAAATCATGCGTTTTGAAAAACCATGCAGATTTTAAACAATTTATGACGTTTAAACAGTAGCAAATCTAATCTATGTTGTCTAAAAATCTGCAATTGATCCATACCAGCGTTTCCCAAACTGTGCTCCGCGGAGCAACGAGTGCTTCATAAGAGTTTCAAAATTATAATACTTGTTTGACATGCGCTCCTAATATTCTATCGGCGACGTTTCACGGTCAGACGGCGCTTCTGAACTGGTTTAAGACCACCTTCTCCTTATTACGCCAAACAAAGTGTACCTACGGACGGAAATTATTAGTCATGTTTCATTCTTGTATTGTGCATTTGTGCGGTCACTCAATCCTTGCAGTGTCAGTTTAGTTCACGGAGTATTTGCAGTTATTCGCCACTTGTTATTTGAAACCAATTCCTAGTTTTGTTCTTCGGCAATGGATCGCTGGTTGAAGACTGGATCGTTCAGAAAAATAGTTAATACCACTGACACAGTCACTCCAGTAGAGGCAGTGGCTTCAACATCGAACAGGTATGTGTATTATGTTAAAAAGTTAAAACTTTACGGACGGCGGAAAATGCTTAAAGCATTTTGTTATTGCTTACGTGTAACATTATTTTTCTTATTGAGATATTTGACAAGAAAAAAGTTAGTGCCATATACATGACGGCGTGGGCTCTCCGCATAAATGTTTAGGGTCCAATGACGTATGGGAATGTCATTAGCATTTTGTAGAAAAATTTATTTTAATTGGTTTTTATTATTGACGTATAAATAATATACAAATGCAAAAGTAGACACCTCTAGCCTTCGTTGTTCCGTGAACGGAATGTTTTAAAATACTGTCCATCCACTGATAATTGAATTGTTACTGCATTGTGCTGAACACTTACGACACTGCCTTATCACCTTGATCAGAACGTAATAGTATACTAAATAAAGCAATTCAAGGTCTTGAAGTCCAATTGTACGTCCATATACAATTAAAGAGATATATTTGGCGGTTCCTCTCTATTTTCTATAAATACAGTAAGTACACAAAACTCCGAACCAAGTACTCTTTTACAAATTGTAAACAATTACCAAAGTGCCCTTAAACCAGTGAGAAGCCTACTATAACCCCGATTTTTCTGAAATGTCGTATGTCACGGCGTGGGTTGTGAAATTCCATTCCACTCGATAGAAATTTTCAACTATGCCGATATTGTAATTCTTAGAAGGAATAAAGGAAGATATTTAACGGTACTTCTTGGGGTAAGAGCCCTCCGTTACCTGCCTACATAATGTGGATATTATCACAACCAGTTCAGAAAAAGCTATTACAAAAGTCGGTCGCAAAATCTCGTAAGCTAAACTCGCTAGCTCGCAAATACTCGCTTCGCTTATTAATATATTATATGTATTTGTAACTAAGTAGTTCGCATCGCATTATTATTCATAAAGATTTCCAAGCCAATCATTTATAGTAATCAGTGTTTCCTAAAACTGCAGTTATAGTTTCATATAAACAGTTCATCTATTCAAACCAGCAGTGTTGCCAGTAGTTCGCTTTTTAAACATAGAAACGACATTCCGCTAAGCAATTTTACTTGTAATTATATATAATAGTGAAAATAGCGTCAGTGAAAAGTGTGGTGAAGTATCCCATATCACAGTGTTTTCGGACGGCTGTCAGAAATTTCTATTTAATCTTAGCATTAAATATAAGTTAGTGTTTAATCTGTTTTTCATTCCAGTCCCTGGCTGGTGGTCTTTCGTCCTTCAATTCTTTAAATAAGTTAATGTTCAAGCAGTGGGTGCTGAATTATTAGCTTCGCTCATATTATCGTCTCTGTTACCTTACCGTATCTGTGCATTTTTCTTTCTAAGTGTGTATATTTGACTTTTTTTATCTAATATCATATTAGATTAAATATTGGTATAGAGTACCTTTAATTTTAATTAACTTAAGTGAATTAGTGCAGCAGTCATCAGGAATTACTGTAAGTTACCATAATCTTAGTATCTCCACGGGCGAATAATATGGAATGGTATATTATCTGCAATCATCTGGTCGAATCAAAGTTCATCCATGTCTTCACCTGTAGTTGAGAGTAACTAATGATTTTTGCATTCAATTTATAGAACATTTAATATTTTCTTACGAACTTTCCATCAGCTACTAAGAAATTTCAATAAATAATAATTTCGAACATTTAGTTCTCGATCATTAAATATCAGTGCGAGATAGATAATTAACTACGACCAAGTGCGGTTTGGTTAAATTTTTATTTCTGTAACCTTTTTGTATTCTTGTAAATTTAGATTTGATTACTTTTTGTTATTTGCTATAATTGTTATATATTTTTAACTGAGTATCTCGAGATATGCCCATTAAACAGCAAAGAGAGCCTTTCTTTAATCAACTTTGGTTGAATTTTTTTCTTACTCAGCATTAGACTCTCTTCGCTGATAATTGAACCTGTGCATTATTATATTGTTGTATTTGTAAAGGTACTTATTATTCGTATTACTGCTTATTTTTATATGTATACCACCATTTCATAATTGATGGTGTATATTTAACTTGTGTGTACATTCAGCTACCGATATCATTGTGTTGTTGAATATATTGCTTTTGTTTTATATATGCATTTTATTTGTCGACTCCTAACAAGTTTCCTGATATAACCATAACTCTGAATATTTGTTTTTTACCTTCAATTATTACTATACTTTTGACCAGGAGAAGGATCAGGCTGATTAAGTTTCGTAGGTAAGTAGATGGACGGAGTCCACCTAATATATTTATTATTAGTTTATATAGTGTGTTGACCAAATTTATTTAATAATTAACTGTTAATATCTTTTCTTGGGTTTGATCTCTGAACCTAAACATCTTTCCTTACCTCTTTTCTTTTCTAAGGTTTCTTAATTTTCTCCTTAAACCCAAAAAAATTGAGTGGCGCCCTGTTTCTATCTTATCGTATCTTTGGTAATTTTACCCATCTAACTTTTTGTTTATTTCTGTATCTTTTCTAATATATCTTATCTTGTTCTATCTTTACTTATTTCGTCCGTTGGACCGATTCTCGGTTCCAAAAGCTAGTTTCGAACCCACGACTCGCTCTCCACCAACCATGTGGCTACCGTCCACAGTGTCTCCATTGGTGACCTTTCTAGTGGTACCATCCAAAAAAGGTTTCCGAGGTTACAACCTATATAGGTTTCATTCGGTCCTGAATAGTGCTCCTCGAAAAAAAAAACTTTGGGAAACGTTGGTCTATACCATTTTGGTATTTTTCAGTATTTAGTCGATAATAAGGTGTATAAAATACCCTTTTTTAAATTGTCACCGGCTTGGTTCACCAACACTCAGTATCGACTTAAAAGAAATGAATAGCACAGAGGTTATTACAACCTTTTGCTCACAATAAAAAAGTATTCGTAGAGTTTCAGAAATTGAACTCAGAATAGTAACAGACGTTCTCATTCGTTACTGATCACGTAAGTATAATCTCTGTGAAATATCAAAGAGGAGATTCTACAAAAATGCGGACGAGAAGGTTGAATACAGTGTATATTGTTACGAACGTGCATTTAACGAGGCACGTATAACCGTTGCATTTTGAAACAACACCTCATGCTTCCATGCGGCGGCATCTCGAAAGCGACTCGATATTTCGAGAAAGATCGGTCTAGAGGTGGGAACTTTCTAGAAAATAGTAACTTTAGTATATATATGTAACGATCTTAGGAATAAGTTCAGTTGATAAGAGAATACCGAACTGTAAAGTTATAAATAAATATATTTATATAAATTCGAACCGCTCGTTTTATTTAAAAAAACGGTACAGTTGGTGTCAGGTGTGGGGTCAATTGATTTATTTAAACATAAATTTAACAGTGAAAAAAAGAGACTTTTGAACTTTTGAAAAGTATTGTTTGTCGGGAACATCCGCGTAGTTCAGTAGTGATCGTTGTACGAAAGAACATTAAAAAAGTACGTGTGTGCCTGACCAAAGATGCTGCTAGTAGAACTTTCAGTGAAACAGTTGCGTGAGCAACTAGAAGAACGCGATGAAGACTGCAGCGGGTCCAAGAAGAGTCTCCAAGAACGACTAAAGACTGTTCTTAAAAAGAATGGATATGACCCAGAAACATTCCATTTTCAATCAGCAGAAGAAGCAGTTTTAATGAAGATCGAAGAGAGTTCCAGAAAAAATGATAGTAAATTTGAAAATGTGTCGCATATGATAGAAGAATCTTCTAAAAAAAATGATGATAAATTCGAGAACGTTTCCAAAAGATTCGATGAAACGTCTCAAATTATTAAAGAAGTAGCTAGACAAAACGACGAGAAATTTGAAAATGTATCTAGAAGATTCGACGAGACTTCACAAATAATTAAAGAAATATGTATTCAGAACAATGAGAAATGTGAAGAAGTCTCTAAAACATTCGAAAAAGTAGAAGACAAAATCAAACAGAGAGCATGATAACAAACACAAAAATGCTACCACCAGTTAACACAGTGGCCTTGAAACCGGTAGTGAAAGAAGAATCACCTAGAGACGAAACGACACATCATATGCGATTCAAATTGCCACCATTTGATGGAAAGTCCTCTTGGTCCATATACCTTAGACAATTTGAAGCTATTGCGACAGCCAATCATTGGACAGAACAAGAAAAAGCTGTTTCCTTGACTGCTGCTTTACGAGGTGATGCTGCAGATATCCTAAGATCGATTCCTAAGGGTCAAGAAAAATGTTACCAGACCTTGTTCACTCGACTAGACAAACGTTACGGAGATGCTCATCTACAACAAGTCTACAAAGTACAAATAAGATGTAGAATTCAACGAGCAAGTGAGAGTTTGCAAGAATTTGAAGCAGATATTGCTCGTATAGCGCTGTTGGCCTATCCAGAGGCACCAGACAACATTTTGGAAGAAATTGCTGTAGATACCTTCGTCAATGGGTTGAGAGACATTGAACTACAGAAAGCTTTACGACTAGCAAGACCGAAAGTTTTAGATGAAGCGCTCGCCATTGCCTTGGAACATGAGATAGCTAGTCGAGTTTCACGGAGCTATCAAGTACGAACCTGTGAAGAGAGTGATGAACGAAACGATAAACGTCTGGAGGAAATCGTACGGAAAGTAGTTCGTAACATGATGCCGAAGAGACGTGAACCCAGATGTTCGAATGGTAACAACGAAGGTCACATTCGCCATAAAGTGCAAGAAAATAAAACAACAGTCAGAAAGCTAGAACAGATCGAGCACTGGGCTGGAAAAAGTCATTCAAATGCTGATGTACAATCAAGACGGCCATACGGTGAAAATCGTAATCATTGTCTTGAATTAGAAGAAAGACTTTGCCCCGTGAGACGAAACACCGTCATTAATGATCAATGGCAACCACAACAGTTACAAGACGCTCAAGCAGATGATCCATGTATAAAAAGAGTATTGGATTGGATGCGTCGAAGTGAAAGACCTTCTTGGCAAGACATTAGTGCATGTAGTCCCGAAGTCAAGTGTTACTGGAGCCAATGGAATTGCCTAGTGCTGAAAGATGATCTTCTGTATAAAACCTTTGAGAACGATGATGGTACAGAAACTAAGCTTCAGTTGATTGTACCTAAAAGTAAAGTGTCAGAAGTATTGCGTCAGTTGCATGACGGTGCATCAGGTGGACACTTTGGTATTACGAAGACTCTGCAAAAGGTTCGAGAACGGTTCTATTGGGTGAACTGTAAAGATGATGTAAGAAGATGGTGCCGGAAATGTGAACTGTGTGCAACTAGTAATGGTCCAGTTGGTAAAAAGAGGGCAGCCATGAAACAGTACAATGTTGGTAGTCCTATGGAACGAGTAGCAATCGATATTGCAGGACCACTTCCAGAGACAAATGATGGAAATAAATATATCCTGGTAGCCATGGATTATTTTACGAAATGGACTGAGGCCTATGCGCTACCAAATCAAGAAGCTGCTACCGTTGCAGAGGTACTTGTTAAAGAATTCTTTAGCCGATTTGGTGTTCCCTTGGAGATCCACTCCGACCAAGGGCGAAACTTCGAGTCAAACCTTTTCCAAAACGTTTGTAAATTGATTGGTGTCAATAAGACCAGAACGACACCCCTGCATCCTCAATCAGATGGAATGGTCGAGAGGATGAACCGAACGATGGGTAAACACCTGTCCAAAGTTGTATCAAAACATCAAAGAGATTGGGATCAGCACATTCATTTATTCTTAATGGCATACCGCTCGGCCGTGAATGAAACTACGGGCCAGACTCCAACCTGCCTGATGTTAGGTCGTGAAGTTCGTTTGCCCTGCGACCTAGAGTTTGGCTGCAGACCTTCCGAAGAACATGTTGCAAGCGAAGATTATGTCGACCGCCTAAAGTTAAGAATGAACAACATTCATGAACTTGCCCGACAACACATCCAGTTAGCCAGTGACAGAATGAAAGATCAATACGGTTCTCGATGCAAGAATGAAAGCTATGAAGTAGGTGATCTTGTTTGGCTTTATAATCCCCAACGTCGTCGTGGCTTGTCTCCTAAACTGCAAAGACAATGGGAGGGTCCGTATGAAATTAAAAAGAGAATAAATGACGTAATATACCGAATTAAGAAGTTGCCGAAAGGTAAACCAAAAGTAGTTCACATAAATCGTCTTGCACCTTATGCTGGCTCAAATGAAACCGAAGAAGTCCGAACCCTTCAACATGAGATCAAAGATGATCGGCGACCAAGCTTTAATGAATTTATGTCAAATTACGCAGAGAGAACTACATATAGAGTTGCTGATCGGGACGCTCAGATCTAAGAGGGGAGCAGTGTTACGAACGTGCATTTAACGAGGCACGTATAACCGTTGCATTTTGAAACAACACCTCATGCTTCCATGCGGCGGCATCTCGAAAGCGACTCGATATTTCGAGAAAGATCGGTCTAGAGGTGGGAACTTTCTAGAAAATAGTAACTTTAGTATATATATATGTAACGATCTTAGGAATAAGTTCAGTTGATAAGAGAATACCGAACTGTAAAGTTATAAATAAATATATTTATATAAATTCGAACCGCTCGTTTTATTTAAAAAACGGTACAATATCATAGCAAAGTAATTGTTCACAAACGTCTGAACAGGTCTATTTAAGTTTAAAATCTGACCAGGTAAGAAACATAGCTTTGAAGCCTATAATAGGTAATCTTAAAAATTTACATCTTTTGGACTAAAACATATATAGGTTACACACAAAAGACCTTTCAGTTCATAGTTCCAACAATTGTTTGATTGTTTATGCATTATCAGTCTAGTTATTGTAATACTGAGTTGCAATAAAAGTATCTTTTACATTTTCTCAACTTATTTTTGTTACTTCATCTATAAAAGAAATTTGGCTCGTACATACACGAATCTTAGATACAGACAGTCATATACGATAAAAACTATAAAAAGTAGTTTTAGGACCAGCCTAAAACGTTTCATTTCGTAGACAGGTATAACAAACATCGACACATCACCAGATATCGATTACATCAAACAGCTATGTACGCGCAACGTGATTTTCGGGTATCTTTGACAAATCGGATAAGAAATCTGCAAAAAAAAAGATGAAAAAAACATAGTAATGCATATATCTATTAACTAATGCTCAAGAGGATGAGTTATCGGCAATAGCCAATTTTTAGTTAATCTTATCATTTGACAATTCATTTTTTTAACAACAAATTATTTAAAAACCTTTGTCATACGGTAAAAAATTATCACCTATAAATCTTCCCTAAGATACATTTACTTTATATTTATTATTACTAACTTATTTTCATATTTTTTAAAATAAATTACTAGATCGAATTTAATTTTAAGAGTTGGTAATATAATATACTATACTTTCGTGAAATGCTACTGATAGAAAGTAAAGGATTCGGATAATTGGTGTTAAACAAATTTGATTTGCTAAAAATACCTCCTGAAAAAGTCTGTTATTACAGCTGGCTCAAAAGACCTTATATTATTGAAATAGAAATAGAAATATGCTTTATTGTCACTGAAAATTGAATATTTTTATGGATAAAACTTACAAAATGTCAGAAAATAATAATTACAATTTACTGAAATTACATAAATCGTCAATATCACAAAATAATAGATAATAAAATAAACAATACATTGCAAAATTTAAATAAAATGCAAATTGTTTAATAAAACCTTATGAACTAATAAATTCATGTTGCTGTATATGATATCCAAATATAGATAAAAATACTTAACAAAACGATATGAAGAGGCCATTTAAGGTTGCTGTCTATAACAATAGCAACAAATTTTATAGAATCAGCTATACTGATCTGGCTATTATTAAGAAGCAAGGGTTGAAGAGCTCCTTTATAGGATAATGCTCTGTCTTATCCACGTTAAAAGAGGGTAAATTAGGGTCGCACGAGGTTTTTATTGTAAGTAGATCAAAAGTTATAGTTGTAGGAAGAGTTTTTTTTATTTAATTAATGGCTTTGGATACTTGATCCATTCAGCCACGATAATGTATTTGACTGCTTGAATTTGTTAATGATGTATTGACCTATTGCATTTTGTTAACAAAATAGTACTTCGCATAGAGGTAAATTAAAAATATAGTGTAAACATCAGTATCACAAGAATCAGTAGCTTGATAAAAAACCATACATTCATTCGTTCCATTCAAAGCCCTAGCCAACAATATTTAGGACCCACAAGGGATTACATAATATAGGGATACTTTTCACGCTAAGGTGCCTTTCATAGCGACTTTATTACAACACAAGACAGGCAACGGTTAGAAGGTAACTATATAACAAAGCTAGATTTACACATTCACATTACACATTCAATCCTAAATTTTTCTTTTAGTTCTTTTTAAATATTTCCAAAAAATTTGGTTAAACCTAATATTATGACGACAGATATATAAAATGGAAGATTGACACTGAGGGAGAGGTATTTGTTCTTTTATCAGTTTTTCCAATAGATACTTAATAGCAGCTTCATTATATATGCACCCGAACATCCAATGATTGATATCGTCAGTGTTACCATTACAATCACAAAGTTCGGTTTCACTTAAATTAAATCTGTGGAGATAGGCTTTCACAGTAGCATGATTAACAAGGCATCTAACAAACATTGAATATACTCTTCTATTGGGATGACTTCTTGCAGCAAAAGGCGCAGTAGGTAAAACAGGATGAATTTTTGTGTAAAGGTTGTTACTTCTGTTACAAAAAGCATTCCATTCAATTTCCTAGTTTTCTTGTAATTCTTGTTTGCGCAGCGAGACTAAATCACTTCTATTGAGCCAGCTGTAGGAAGAGTTGTGCTGGTCCATGCTAAGACAGGAGCTGGAGTATACGGAGTGAAACAAAGGGTCTTACTGAAAGCATTGGTAATCACCCTACTATTTTCCAAGCGAAAATATGTACTATACAAATGTGCCTCTTCTTCTTCGCATGCCATATCAGAATTATCCGACGTGGGCGATCACCATTGCGAAGATTCTAGATCTTCTGCAATATGGAATAATTATCCTGCACTTGATATCTATTTGTTTTTTACCAAGAAACTTGTTTTCTTCCTACACCTCTACGTCCCTCTATTTTGCCTTTAAAGATCAGTTGTAATATTTTATATCGACTTCTCCTTATTATATGTCCCAGATAAGACATTTTTCGATGTTTACCAGTCTCTATCTTTGTTGACGCTCCTTGGTACTTCTTCATTAGTTTTACTTGCTGTCCAAGGTATCTTCAGTATTTGTCTATGTACCCACATTTCCAATGCTTCAATTTTGTTCATGATGATACTTTTAGCGTCCACACTTCTGCACTATACAAAAGTACGGACCAAACATAGCACTTAATCAATCTTTGTTTTAGTTCTAAGATGCAAAGAAATGACTTCATTTTCATAGAAGGAGTTTTAGTCATTGCTATTTTACGTTTTATTTCTGTCTGGATCTAGTTGGTCCGTTATCACAGTTCCCAAATATGTCATTTTTTGAACTTTCTCAACTTGGACTCCGTTTAATTGAAGCTTTGCAATCGGGATGTGGGTCACGACTAAACACTAAAAATTTGGTTTTGTTTGAGTTTATTTTAATGCTAATTTCCTCTCCTACCTCGTGAATAGGATCAAGCAGAATTTGGAGACCTTCAATATTTTCTGAAAGAATTACTGTATCATCTGCATATCTAATCACATTAAGTAGTTCCCCGTTGATTTTTATTCCATATGGTTGTCTCTCAAGTGCCTTTCTAAATAACTGGTCCGAGTAAACATTGAACAATGTTGGCGAGAAAATGCAACCTTGTCTGACTCCTCGTTGTATGGAGATTTCATCGGTATAGTAATCTCCAATTGTTACGATAGCAGTTTGATTCCAGTACAAAACACGAATATCCTGGTCACCTATTCCGATATTTTTTAGAATTTGCATTAATTTTACATGCTGTACTTTATCGAATGCCTTTTCGAAGTCTACGAAACATGCAAATACATATTTTCTTTGGTCACGGCATTTTTTTAATACGATTTTAAGCGCAAAAAAGTGCCTCCCTGGTTCCCATAGCGTTTTTAAAACCAAATTTTGTATCTTCGGGATCTTCGCATTTGCGTCTAATTCTGTTGTAAAGTATTCTTGGGAAAATTTTAAGAGTGTGACTCATTAGGGTAATTAGGTACAAATGTGCCTACAAGGAACCGCAGGGACAAATGTATAAAAATTATTTCTCTTAGCCAGGCATCATTAAAGACACTGGCATGGAATCAGATTGAATCCAAGTTAGTTTGGAACTCTTTTCAGAATCTGATTCAGATCTGAAAAAGTAACAAAGTAAGTTTATTCTGGGTGCCTGGACATACTGGTATTGGAAGGAACGAAAATTTCCAGGGGAGGAGTAAAACAAACATTCATATGCCCAGAACCCGTCATTGGTATAGCAAGAAGCACAACCAAAAGAACTCTTGTCGGACTGGATGGAACGGATCAAACATAACCACTGGTACGAACAAGTGGGCCCTTAAACATAAGAAGGCTTTTATACATGAACCTTCGAAGAAGAGGTCCAAATATCCACTAGATATTAATAGGAGTGATATGCGCATTATCGAAGATATTCTAACAGGACACTGTCGCCTCAAGGGGAAAAATGAACAAAATCAGACTGGCAGAAAGTGCTAATTGCAGATTTTGTCAGGCTGATGAGGAGACGACGGAAAACGTTTTGTGTAGTTGCCCAGGGCTGGGCACAATATTTTTGAGCATTACCAACTCGAACCTTCAACTTTGTAAGTGTGTCGTCGCAGCAAGAGTGGACCTATGAAATTATCTACTCTGCTGTACGCTCTGCCTAGAGGCTTCAGGTATAATATATATGAAATACCCCTAAGCATTTATCCATTTTACTTCTAGATGTGGATCATTTTGTCTACAAATCTTAATAGAGACTGTATATAATATGGGTGACGTCGCATGATATCGTAGACCATTGCTCGTAGGTTGGAATTAAAACAACTTGTAGGAAGCGAAGAAGACTATCTACACAGTCTTAGATTGCGAAAGCACCGGCGACCTCCCAGAGCGTACGTCATAAGGTCATAACACGACTGTTCAAAAGGCTGTTCTAAAGGGACAACTTAAACTTAGGGATGAGCCACAATAGACCTCCTAGGTCGAGTGGAAGGGTGGTAAAGAGCACACTCATATTGAACCTTCTTCTTCTTCTGGTAGTACCTATCCGTTTCAGATGTTGGCGACCATCATGGCAATCTGTATTTTGCAAACTGCTGCCCTGAAAAGATTTGTGGTTGTTGTATTGAACCACGTACGTAGATTTTTCAACCAGGAAATTCTTCGCCTTCCTTGTCCTCGTTTTCCTTCCACTTTTCCTTAAATAATCAATTGCAGCAACCCATATATTTCGCTGTTCCTCATGATGTGACCGAGGTAATTAATTTTGGCTGTTTTTATTGTGGTTAACAACTCTTTTCCTTTTAGCATTCTTAATAAAACGTCCTGATTAGTAACGAGGTCGGTATAGGATATCTTCAGGATTCTACGATAAAGTCACATTTCAAAAGCCTCATTTTTCTTACAGGTTGCGTCTGTGAGAGTCCACGACTCAACTCCGTACAGCAGTATAGGGAAGATATAACATCGTAATAATCTGACTTTATGGGTACTGATAAATCGTGGCATTTGAATAGCTTAGCCATTTTTTGAAATGCATATCTTGCTTTCTCTATCCTAGATTTTATTTCTAGGGAATGGTTTTCTTTTTATTGGTTGACCATTCACACTGATTCTTTCAATTTGCTGTTCCTTCCTGGAGATCATCATTGTTTCTTAATGTTTAATGAAAGTCTATATATCTGACTTATTTCTGTGATTATATTCATTAACTCCTGAGGGCTTTATAACTGTCAGCGAATATCACCGTGTCATCCGCGTATCTGATGTTATTGATACGTTCTCCGTTATTCGAATTCCGACTTTAAAATCTTCTACTGCTTCTTGAAAGATTTCCTCACCTATTAAGATATTGAACCTAACCTCACCTAACCTACATATTATTTCAGCAAATTGTCTAAAGTGTAAGGATTACAGCGTATGAGATTTTTTTTTTTTAAATTAACGTGTCTCGACAGCTTATGGTCATTGACACGGGTACAGTAGTTTACAACATTATACATATTTTATATAGGTATAGGTACAAGAATTTAATATGAACATTTTTTTTTTATATAGAAAGGTTAGAACAATAAAGCTTATCACTATGCACTGTTTATATTAGCTGAAATAAACTTGTTTCTTTTAAAAATCTAAGAACACTGTCAAAACGGTTTGGAACACTGAGATGTCTTTTAGATTTCCTTTTAGGCTGTGCTTGTTTCTGGAAGAGTCATACTGGCAGCAGTCCACTATCACGTGTTTGATGGAGAGGACGTTATTACAGTAGTGGCATACTGGAGGGTTTTCTGATGCCATAAGGTATCCATGTGTTAGACATGTATGCCCTATTCGTAGTCGGTGAATAACTGATTTTTCTTTCCTGTTCATAGAGGAGATATTGACGCGAGATAAGTTAGGCTGAACTTCATGGAGCTTAGTTTTTGTTTTACTCCACAGGTCCGCCCATGAGCTGAGGATTTTTTGTTTTATCAATATTTTAAGATCCGTATGGATTTGGACCTCTTGGAAGGCTATGTCAGAAGAACATGCTGCTTTAGCGGCTTGGTCTGCTTTTTCGTTTCCCAATATACCAACATGAGATGGAGTCCAGATCATTATGACTTTTATGTTAGCAGAATATAGTTGGTTACAGATAGTGTGGATTTCCTGGACTAGTGGGTTTTTCGAGAAAATGCATCTTATTGAATAAATCGAGGAAAGAGAATCAGTGCAAATGGCGATTTTTATGCTTTCATTTGAAGTAGGGCGGATTGAAGTCTTTAATGCTTGGAGTATTCCATATAATTCTGCGGTATAGATACTACAACTTTTAGGCAATCGCACAGAGCTTATTGTCGTCGTCAGTGTGGACACAGCGGAGCCACAACAGTCTTCATTCTTGGACGCATCGGTGTATAAAATTTCATCAAATTGTGTTAAGTTAAGGATGTTTTGGAAGGATTTTCTAAGGATTAAGTTTGGGGTTTCTGTTTTGTCGAATCTGCATAAATCTGTATTGAATATTGGAAGGTTGTGCATCCATGGAGCTGTCTTGGGGGTATAAATAGAAGTAGTATTGGAGAGGTTGATGGAATCTAATAAAGGAGATAATATTTGTGGTAATGTGAGAGACTGATTGGAAGCGTTTACTGGGGGAGGTTCTATGGGATTGATTAGATTTATTACCGGGTTACATGGGTTTGCTGATATTCTTACAAAGTATGAAAGTAGAAGCTGCTGCCTTCTTAGATGGAGTGGTGGCTCTGAAGATTCAACGCACAGACTTTCAGCGGGGCTTGATTTGAAAACACTGAGGCATAGTCGTAGGGATGTATTTTGAATCGTGTTTAGAGACTTTAGTAGGGAGCTACTAGATGTCATATAAAGAATACTGCCATAATCTAGCTTAGAGCGAATTAACGCTCTATATATTTTAAGAAGAGATTCGTCAGCTCCCCAAGAGAAGCTAGCAAGAGATTTAAGTAAATTGATTCTTTGGGTACAGTTTCCTTTAAGTTTCTGAATATGCTGTCTCCAGATAAGCTTTTTATCAAAGGTGATACCAAGAAGTGTCAAATAATTAACTGTTTGTAAACGAAGTCCGTTTAGAGTTATAGAAGGTGGATTAGGTCTATGCTTTTTGGTAAAGTGAATTACTTTGGATTTAGGAGCTGAAAACACAAATCCAGCACGCGTAGACCAGGTGTCTATTTTGTTTATTGTGTTTTGTAGCAAAGTGCTTGTGATAGCTGTGACTCTGCCTCGGCAGTATAATATAATATCATCAGCATATATCGAGTACCTGACTGGTGGTTCTATATATGAGGAAAAGTCATTCATGCTAAGTAAAAATAAGGTAGTGCTTAAGACTGAGCCCTGAGGCAAACCGTTGTCCAAAGCGTGTGGTTTTGATATTTTTCCATTTGTTAATACTCTAAAATATCGACTTGTTAAAAAATTTTTTAAAAATAAGTAAATGTTACCAGTTAAACTATATTCCGTTAATTTTCTTAGAATTAGAGGTCTTTGTACAGTGTCGAAGGCACTTTGGATATCTAAAGTTACTGCTATGACTTCGCTTCTATTCGAAAATGCATTAACAATGTCAGTATGTAATGTGACCAGGTTATCCATTGTACTTCGATTTGATCTGAAACCTGTTTGGAATGGGTCAAGAATATTATTTCTTTCTAGATACCATAGTAAGCGTTTATTGACCATCTTTTCTAACAGTTTACATAGTGAACACGTGAGAGAACGTATGAGATTAGAACACACTAAAATAACATGAGCGTGTACTGAGGAAAGAACCACCCAAATATGTTTGCCTGCGACATAAAAACATAAATTGAAAGACAAAATAATAATTTATCTTGTGAACTGAAGTGCGTTTGAAATGGGTGAAAATAGTAATGAAATCATTAAATTTTTAAAAGCAATTGATCTGTACAAATTAATATAAATGTATTGTTGACTTTGGTCTCTTATAAAGCTAAATAATTTTTCACATAAAATTGTATATTTAAATACTATATATTGTTGTATTTTGAATAACTTATAAACCACCACTAATAACCTTTTATATATTAATTATAATAATAACCTTTTATAAGTAGTGGATGGTGGTCCTGAATTAGCATTTAAAATCTATTTAAGATACAGAATGAATTTTTTAATTATAGAAAATTACTGTCAAAGTTACCTGTTACTTACCACTAATTTGGAATCTAGATAATTAGGGGAAAAGTCTAAGTAGGCTTTGGAAAATGTACACCAATACTTTTTTCAGTAGGTGGATCGTCAGTATCGCTATCGTCTAGTGGTTCTTGTGATTCGGGTAGACGTATAAAAGGTAAATGTTCACTGCCACTCCACATCGAATAAAGATTTGCGTGCATTCTGATGGCTTCCTAAAAAGAACATACAAAAAAGATATAATACATTATATTTGACTTTTTTATTACTCAAAATACATTTAATTTATAAAATGGTTTAATTTGTATTTATATTAAATACAGTAGATAAAATAGAAAGGTCACATGAAAATAATTTCAGATCCCTATTATTGCGGTAAACTTTATCGTTAAGTAAACCTTCTTAACAAGAGTTACCATACATCCATTTTATTAAGTTAAATAAAAAGTTTAATATTTTCAATTATTTAGAAATATTTGTACTATGTAAAGTACCATAGCTATACAAAGAATATTTGGTTAATTTCTTGAATGTTTAAGAAAAGGTTAATTATTCCCGTAAATTCAAAATCCAGCCTTACAATTATCAAGAATGAAGAATGAACCTTTATAATACTTTTGTATAAGAAAAGGATATCGCAAACCGGAAATAATGATGAATGCCTGACAATTAACGGTAACACTTTAGAACAAGTTGAAAACTACAATTATCTTGTCACAATAATTAATCACAAAAACGATTACTCCAAAGAAATCGAAGTTCGAATAGAGAAAGCAACAAACTTAAATAAAATCAGAAAGGTACTTTGTGCAAGAGAACTGAAATTAGACTTGAGAGTTAGACTGGCAAGGTGTTATATTTTCTGGACTTTGCTTTACGGGATAGAAGCATGGACACTGAACGCGTCGACTATTAAGAAGAATCCTGAAGATATCATGGACCGAGCATGTAACAAACAACGAAGTCATGAGAAGAGTCAACAAAAGAATGGAAATATTGGAAACCATTAAGACACGAAAGCTGCAAAACCTGATGCATGTTATGCGTAATGAAACATACTTCAATTAACTATACAAGGGAAAATCCAGGGCAAGAGAAGTGTAGGAAGCAGAAGAATCTCATGGTTGCGTAACTTGAGGGAATTGTACGGATGCACATAAATCGAACTATTCAGAGCGGCAGCATCTAAGATCAGACCATCCATGATGATTGCCAACCTCCGTCGCGGAGATGGCACGTAAAGAAGAAGATAAGAAAAGGTTATCTGTACCTTTATGCAAATGACCCAATGACGTCGATCAACAGCATAAACTTTACTCCATAGTGTTGAATATACCTTGAAATACCAGAAAAATAGTTAAAATATATCTTTATTCCCTGACCAACACAAGCTAACTCCAGACGATGTGCAGATGTCGGCCAGATATGAGCCAAGTACATACCTACTTAAAAGCCTATCAAAAATAGTTCACAATAGATTATATTGGATTCAAGGCTGGAATGGGAACAAGAGGGATTTGTTTTTTTTTTACAAGTACTATTACAAAAGTGTTACAACCAACAAAAATATATTTTCCTATTGTTTGTGGCTTTTGAAAACGCATTTGATCGCGAGATCATAATAAATTTTTAAGTTTTTTACATAACATGAACTTGATAATAAAAACCTGAGATTAATAAAAAACTTATAGTGGACGCAAAGTGCCAAGATTGCGATCGACGATCAAACATCCAGAAATATTAGTATAAGTACAGAAGTAAGGCAGGGTTGTTTCTTGTCCCTTATGCTGTGTAACCTTTACTAGGAAATACTATTCAAGAAAGACTTGGAAAACCTTTCTACATGATATGTCATATGTCCAGATTTAGCCATACGGCTCACACTCCCTCTAAGGGGAAAATTCACTCATCCCAGACACCTACGGTATCAAAAGGATTGAGCTCTGGTGGGACTCTTTCCATGTTATCGAGTCCTAGGTGACTTGGTACGTCGGTGTATCTCCTAAAAATTTTCGCACGCATCTGGACGTCGAAAGTAGTACAGCTTTCTGCATGACCTTATATAGATGTTTAGTTAGACCCAGCTTTTTTATGTTTTCTAGGAGGTTCTTCAGAATGACTCCAGTGCTAGAAAGAATAATAGGTATCGTCTGGATACTTTCCATTCTCCATTGTCTTCTTATTTGTATTTCCAGATCTCTGTACTTGGCGATCTTTTCGTTGTACTTAACACGCAGATTATTGTTGTTAGGTATCGCCACATCGATTAGAGTTGTTTGTCTTGTTAGTTTATTAACTAGCACGAGATCTGGTCTATTATGTGCTACAGTTTGGTCTGTGAGCATAGTGCGATCCCAGTATAGCTTGTAGTTGTCATTCTCAAGCATACTCTCTGGAACGTATTGATAATATGGGAGATGGTTTGTTTGTAGAAGTCCCAGTTTATTCATTTTTCCCAGTTTTCATATGTTATTATTATACTATTATTATTATTATTTATTTTATTTATTATTATTATTTTTATTATTAACCTTTATCTATCTTCATTCATTGTCATACAACTATCCTTTTAATAAATAATTCAATAAATTAACATACATTTCTAAAATATACCTATGGAATAAATGTAAATAACTTTTACATAATATAAAACATCACCTTCTTTTAACAAAGAATTACATAATACCTACTTCCTATTTTATTTGTTAATATCTCTCCCCTCAAGAACTGCCTCGCTAATTGTCAAACAGTTACAATAAAACTAATAATTCTTGTACCGGCATGTAAGTAGTATTTTGGTTATTTACTAATTTATTTCAATTCAATAGATTATCTTATACCAATTTGGGGGTTTTTACTTTGTCTGCTTCATCAATTTTTATTCATATTAATAATCACAGACATATAATATTGGCATAATTGCTATAATTGTTATCTTTATAAGACAACACCCTAATGTGGGTTTTTGTAATTTCAGCATTTAATTTACCTGGTACCGTAAGACCTGAAGATGCATAGTAAATTGTAGTATGAGAAACCGATAGTTTTGGTAGTAAAATTAAATTGATTGTGAGTAAGTCTTAATTTATTTCTTTTTTACCTATGATGAAAAAATACACACAAAGGAAAATACAGAGATGAGTCGGAAGAATAAACAGACATATATTGGCATAGTTGCTATAATTGTTATCTTTATAAGACAACACTCTAATGTGGGTTTTTGTAATTTCAGCATTTAATTAACCTGGTACCGTAAGACCTGAAGATGCATAGCAAATTGTAGTATGAGAAACCGATAGTTTTGGTAGTAAAATTAAATTGATTGTAAGTCTTATTTTATTTCTTGTTTACCTATGATGAAAAAATACTTACACACAAAGGAAAATACAGAGATGAGTCGGAAGTATAAACAGACATATTAAATTGACATTGAAACGGTTGGAAAGTTTACATACCTGGACCAGGCCAAGGCTCAATTTGGGCTGTAGTGCTGTAGAAGATATATATGAAATACAAAACGTTAATTATAAAAATGGTAAAAAAGAGTGAACTGGAACAACCATCGAGACATAATGGCTGAGGATATGTTGACGAAAACAACGAGAAATCATTTTCCAGTGGAAAGATCAGTGGCGATCACTACAACAACAACAAATTCACATAACGATAGTATACTAAAGGCACACTGAAAAATACAGTATGTCTATTTGAAAGAAAAATATAATTTATTAAGTTAATACTACTTACCGCGCCACTAGCTTCACTTGCAGATCCCCTTTCCGAAGAACTAGTCGTAGATCTGCTGTGAATGGACAAACACGATGACGAATCAGTCGATGAGCTGCTTTTTCGCGAAGTTAATGGTAATCCGGATGGGAAAATATCACAATGCTCTGTAACTGACATACCGCTAGAATGCGGTACGTCTATAGACTGCCAATTACCCCTAAAATTAAATAAAAGAAAATTTAGACCTGCTGCGATTATTTCTGAAATTGTTAAAAAACTGTTACATACATCTGGTGTAGTTAATTGACTAGATATAGGAACAATACATTTGAAAATAAAACGAATTTTTGACTGTCTACTTGGGTTAAATTATCAAAATATTGAAGTATTTTCTTTTTCATTTTTTAAGATATTTAAATGCAAAGGGAAAAATTAAATAAATGTTAATATAATTTTGTTTAACGTGTAGAAAATATTTTTCAGAAAGTAGGTCACAAAAACCGATATTGCTTTTACATTTTTACGTTTGATAATAATAGTTTAAACCCCTGCGAGGTTTTATTTACTTTTGTCGGAAAGTTGTTTCCGAAGGGTACAACTATTAATGTTAATCCGGTTTTTCCTTGTTCCACTTACAGACAATTTAAAAAATATTAGTCGAATTCGGAATAATATTTAACAAAATGCGGGGTCTTGTTTGGTACCTAGGCATTAAAAGACTTGATGACCTTGAGATGGTTTATCGGGTTAGGGGAATTGCTGAACAGGGGACTTGTCGTTGAGACATCAACGAGAAAGGTGGTGAGCGGCTGGTCGCTGGGTCCAAGGGCCCCCGGACTTAACTTCAAACAGGAGGGTGTAAGAAACAGCCGCTACCAAAGCCCAACCTGCAGCAAAAGAGTTGCCCGTGAGCCCGTGAATTATTAGTGTGCCAGAAAATAAAAAAGGGAGATTTAGTTGTGGATTCTCAATATTATCCTTTTTATTTCTGTATGGATTGGGTAAAAATAATACCCGTGCAGAATATTTTATTTATAAAATCAGCCCCAGTGTTTTTTGCAAAAGTTGGTGGTGAGCAGAGAAAGCAGTCTATTTTGCATAAGTTGGTGGTAAGCGAAAAAAACGACAAGAACTTCAAACCGTAAGTAATCTCGTTTATTATTCCATTTTTCTGATGAAGAAAATTGCTCACAGTATGCTGAATTTTTCTATGATTCAATGCCACAATGAATTTTATAGTTTAATGTTACAGCTGTCGCCTTTATATAAAAAATAATAAATAATAAAAAAGTTAGTTTAGATGTTTTCAAACTAAATTGCTGATACCTATATGTGTATAATTCTAATTTATCTGATAACGTGACGTCAGTACTAGAGATATTTGTTTAAAACCTGAATCGTTTGAATGAACATTTCTGATTTTGTTATATGTATTTTTATGTCCATTTTGTTAATATGTTGATATTTCTGTATTAACTTTTACTTGGCTAAATTTTCCATCATAATCATGTTATTAGGTAACAATATTTTATTAATTAGTCTCTCAAATCGTATCTTGTCTTAGAAGACAAATATCAATGAAGTTTGCAGAAAAACTATAGGTACGAGGTAAGTGAAATTGTTTTCGTTTTCTTTAGTATATCTAATTCTTCAAAAATGGTTAAAAATATTTTGTTCTAGTTTTAATAAATGGGCAATGATTAGTTTAGGGCACCCATCGTAATGAAATTCATATCTGACATTTAACGTAAACTCACATGTTGTCAGAGTTGCCATATCTTCGGTTTTGTTATACTCTCACATAATATTATAGAAATGCATTGGAATTATATAAAAATTCATAGATTTTAATTAAATTAAGGACAATAATTAAATGCATATATGTACAATAAAATTAATTAAAATGATATAAAAAATTAATAGTATTAATTAAATTGCCGTATATATAGAAATGGTTAACCATTCCCACCTAATAATAAGAAAGACCTAATAGACAAAATGTGGAAAGTGTTTTCAAATAATTTACAATAAAGTAACAAGAAATATTTATGAATGCTGTTCATTCAAAACTTGTAACTTCTCATAACACAAATTATGATTTCGTAAAAGTAACTTATATTTTAAACCTTCATATACATTTTACAAAAAAAAAATATGGCACGTTTTATACTTATTCAAAATAGCTTCTCATAAGACAAATTAATTATTACACATTACAATTTCGTAAAAATAACTTTATATTTTAAACATATATATACATATTTTACAAAAAAATATATGGCAACATTGTTACGCGGTGCCTTGAGGAAAATATATTTGGTTATGTTGAGTGCTCTAAACTATACTAAAACATTTTTTAATTGAAGGTGATTACTTTGCAACATCGCACTTAACTAAGCCCTTAACGATAACATTTCAACGAAATCATATTTCACTTATCAATTTTGCAGAGGCGTACCAAAAAAAAATTAATTATTTATTTAAACACATAAGTACTTAATTCAATCTAATACCGATATAGTTATTAAATTATCATGTGTCTTTTAACAGGTATCTTATTCGTTCCGTGCGTAACCATGGTAGGGGTACCTTGAAACAATGCCAGCGTGCGTATTTACGCATAAATTTTATCAAAAATGGGTGCAAATACATGTTGCGTATTTATTTGTGCAAATAATAGCAAAAATAGTAAGTAGTTTTTATAGGTTTGCAAAATCTTGATTTGTCAGTACTAGATTTTTCCCTTTCTTTTCCGTTTGGGGTTGCAAAGATAAATTATGATGAATTTTTAGAAACCCAGTTTTAAATACCACATTTATTTTGTACATAAACTGAAAAATATAATAAAAAAGCTAATTATTCTTAATTGTCAATTTCTTATATATTTAACATATTTTTAACCTCAAATTGGGAGGTCCAAAACTCTCAGACGAAGGCAATAGGTCAGTCACGCATTTATATAATTGCTGTCTGCTATGAACGTTATATTTGTTTTGTTTTAACTCGAATTGAATTGATTTAACTATTTATTTAAATACATAAGTAATTACATAAAAATTAAATTTAAGACTGATATAATCATTAAATTATCATGTGTCTTTCGACTGGTATCTTATAGTTGTCTAACAAATTAGAGTAAAATTTTAATCTTATTAGAGAGTACCTAATATAGAACTTCAAAAAACACTTCAAAAAACACTTCAAAAAACACTGAAAACTTTGTTTTCAAACTTCCACAAAATTTATTTTAACTATTATCACTACAGCTGTTTCGGCTGATTGCCTTTCTCAAGTGATCTATTTTTGGCATGCGTTTACAATTTATAGTCTCTAATGAAATAGGTTGAGGAGGGGAGAACTGTTTGTCTCAAGTTGGTCATTCAGAATTATATCTGTATTTTTTAATTTGTTGATTTCCATAGATTCTAACAAAGATAGCTTAAGGCCTTTATTTTGAATGTGAAGAATTTTAAATTTGTCATTAAAAGAATGATTATGATCTAGAAGGTGAAGTGCGTATGTCGAATCTGTTTTTGTATTATTGAAAGCCCTTTTATGTTCTGCTATTCGTTTATTAAAGTTTCTACCAGTTTGACCGATGTAAGTTTTTGGGCAGTCGCCACATTGAAGTTTGTACACAGCACTATTTAAGTGTTTTTTATTTTGGCTCTTGTTATTCAAACTTCAATGTTCAAACTTCTTGTTGTACAAACTTTAATGTGGCAACTGCCCAATGTGGCGACTGCTCGAAATATGAAATAAAGATGGCACTAACTACTAAAAAGTTAATAGCTTTGTTAGAAGAATACTCAGATTGTGAAAATGCTGACTCACTTAAAGTGTTTCATTTGCCGCCGAGATTAGATAAGAATGTGTCTTATGTAAAAGACATTGCTGATAATATTATTTGTGAAGAATCAATAAAATCGGATATTGCAAGTACATATGAAATACAAGTGATTGGTAATTCTGATTATGATATTCCTCTGAACCACAGATAAAACGTCCAAAGAAAAAACCGGTCAAAAATAGTAGATCCAAATTTGTACTTAAGTTGTAACAACAGATACTTCTTCGTACTGCTTTGTGCTCAGTAGTAATTCAACATCAGTCTGATTGATATTTAGACAATATAAAAGCCAACAATGGAGTCAAGTCATATATTTTAAAGTTTTTTCACTCTTTTTTGATAAAAAAGCATTCTATATTTAGATAGCATTTCTATCCTGTACATAGAAGCATTTGATAAAGAAAATTGAGAGCATTCTATACTTTTGAAGAACCGTCACGATTTTGAAATAAATAACATAGATTCGTATATTATCTGATTCACACTCTGCTTCAAGTTGATATACATTGGTCAAAAGATTAAGATAAAGAAGTGCACAGTATATGAGAAAGCATTTATAATAGTGAAGAATCGCTACATCAATGTCAAGCTTCGTACATGTACCTCAATCTAAATTTGCTTTACCAGATTTGACAATTGGCCACATTACAAAAAGAGACGATGGTGCAAGAATGTAGGATATGCAAAAGTACTACTATTTATTTATCTAAAAGGTGTAGAATGTATCTACACCCCGAAGGTTTCGAACATTTTCACCTTACAATTTAATTTACATTTAAGATGCAATATGTTCCTGTATTAAAAATTGTACAGTTTTCCTTGAAAATGAGAAAAAAAATCTTTTGTGTTGTAAATTGCAATCCTTTTTTAATATATGTGTTTTTATTCCAACCTAATAAATTAATTGACAAATTTCTCTTTGTATACTGACCGGCCGTTAACGGGTTAATACTATATAAAGAATAAATTTGCCGCAACTTTACTTACCTCAAAACTATTTTAAAGTTAATAATAAAGTCTATTTAATAAATATATTCCCACGAAATAGAAAACGCTACGCCTATGCACATTAGAATTTGGAAGGAATAAACATAAACTAAAATATCATATTTCACTCATTAACATTCTTTCTAAGAACGTAAATATATATAGACCAGCAAAATATTGATATGTTTGCGGATGCTTTAAACTATTCAATAAACTTGTCTCACTACACACTCGTGAACCGCACCAATTTATATTGTTACGGGGGAAAATGTTATGAGGACTATATTACTTTTTCGCTTATTTACATGGTCGAAGTATACGCAATAAAAATGACCCCTGTAAGAATTTACTACTAACATTTTACACGGTTGCCGCTACCG